TTTTTACTCTTTGTTCATGTTTGACTGGAATGACACAAAGTCCACAAAGCTGTGGCTTGAGTCTTTAACAGGACTGCAGATATTTTTAGCAAGACTGTTCCATGTTTGTCAGTCTTGTTAAAGTTGGTGAATATTTTTATTTTTTTATTTTTGTTATTTTGCTGGGGCTTTAAGTCAGATTGGTGTAATATTTTTGTGGTGCTTTGGGGTGTGTGTTGCCTCATGTCTAAATGTTACACAGATATGATTGGAAGTTTATGAAGTGTTTAGAATTGTTTTATACTTCTGCTTAATTATGACTGAAACCTCAGATTTTCACAAAGATAAAAACATCAACAGCAGATGAAAAAACATAGAATCAACAAATGTGACAGAGTGTTATTTATTCTTTTGAAATGACGTATGAAAAGGACAATTAAAAAAGATTTAATCTTTGTTTTGTCTGACCAACTTCTGCTAGAATTAGCATTTCCTGCAAAAATGCAGTGTGAACTCATAATGCTGAAAGATTTTTACCAAAAACTGCTGAAGAATCTGAAAATATTAAACGGTAAATCTGTTAAAGCTAAATTTGAACAGGTGACATTTGCTGAAATTAAGAAAACAAAGTAAGTAGTCGCAGAAACAAGTTGAAATTAGTGGACAGATGGTGAACGCAGAGTACAAAAGCTCACACTGGCAGAAAAGTTAGAAAAGGAATCAAAAAAAGTTGCAATTTGTTGTAAGCTATAACTAAATCAACTGAAATTATCAAAAAAAACAGTAAAAAAGTAGTGCAAGAGCATATTTTTTAAGTTAAACTGTAAGAAGCTGAAATCTTTACAAAAAGGTAAATTTAGATTAAAAACTAAAAATAGCTGAAAATGGCAGCAAAAGGCAGAAAATAGCTAAAATTATCAAAACTCTGCTAAAAAACGCAAAAAATCTTAAACTAGCAAATAGAAGCTTAAAAAGTTTGAATTAAAAGAATAGCTGAAAGGAGCAGAAAAATAGCTGAAAATGCAGGAAAAAAGCTAAAGTCAACAAAAAAGATGGTGAAGCTGAAATTAGCACAAAGGAATTGGAAAACAGTAAAACCAAAATAAAAGATAAAAAGTATGGTAAAAAATTATAAACACTAAAGGGTTTTAAGGATGTTGAATACAGCTCCATTYAATGTCAATGAGAAAAAAATGCCATCAATGAGCTCAAACTTTTGGTAAATGAATTGTTGAACTAGCACAAAAATTGTGTAACGAGTTACTTGTTGAAAAACTTATGGAAGAAGAATGGATCATCTCAGTAGCATGAATGCTCAATATCATTCATAACAGTTAAATATTTTGCAGTCACTGCTGATTAGACTCGTACTTGAGGGACGGCTTGGAGGGATTTTCAGATAGAATTGCTAATAATATACAAAACACTTTCTCCGCAGACCTGTGGTTTGTCCACATGATACTTTTATTCCAATAAATACTTCTAATCTGATAACGATCCAGAACTTTTTTTTTCAAAATCTGCTTTATCGATTCACCTTCAAATAAATGAATTATCCAAGACATTTATAGCATCTTATCCTCTCTAGATTTTTTTCTTTACATTTCTCAGATGACTGTGAAAATATGAGAAGGTTTTAGGTCATATTTTTGCAGAAACAAAGCAAATTCTAAACATTTTACAAACTTTTATAAAGCAGATCAATCTGTCCTCCTTTAATATGATTTTGCATTTCTGATTTCTGACCTTACTTCTGTTTAACACTAACCTGGACCCTGTCACTCTCTGAATCTTTGCTTGTTTGGCACCCATGTTTGCTCTCCTTCCTGTCCGGCTCTCTCAGGTTCAGACCCCGACTCTCAGTCTCAGCCTGCAGTCAGGGCTCGGCCTACAACAGACCAACAGCTGGTTCTGAAGGGTGAGTGTTTGTTCTGATGCTCTGCGTGCTCGTCTTTAACAAACAGATTGAACCGGTGTTGCTGCACTTTGGGTGGTTTTCTCAACAAGAAAACGAAGGATTCCGTTTATGATCCACGGACATAAAATGTATTTGTCTTTTTATCTAAAGGCAAATACTGTGGGAGGGTAAAAGGATTCTGTGTTTGGGGGCTTTTTGTGCATTAGTTTACATGGACAGCARGAAATTTTCAGACCGTTTCAAGTTAAATGAAACATTTTAAACTTTTGATGTTAAAACTTAAGCAATGATTCACTTCTATAGTGAAGAAACGTGTGAGTGAGGCTGAGGGAAACTGAAAGAATTTTATGTCAAGAGTTCAAAACATTTAAAGGTTTGAGAACTTGAAAGGGTTGGAGGGCTCTGTTGGCACTAAAGCTTGTTGAAGCCCTTCGATCTGTGTGAGGGTTGGAGAGTTTCAGAGTCAGGTGAAGGATTTTGATCAGTGTGCTGCGACGCTTATTTCAGGCCGTGAGCTGCGGGTGGTGGTGAACACCAACGACCCGGACTACGAACACATCTACTCCATCGAGGCCCTGGAYGACCCAGTGAACGACCTGCTCTACTTCTCCACACAGCCATCCACTGAGTCTGATGGTGCTTTAAGAATCATAAGTTGTTCTTTGGAGCATTTTGATAGAAAAAAAATCAAAATATCGTCTTAAAATACTCTCAACTTAAAAGTGATTGTTGACCTAAAATGAGCTGCACATCATTTCTGARCCATCAATCTTAAACTCCCAATATGTTAACCTGCTTCTATTTTTTACAGCTCAACTGTCGTGTGACTGGTTGCTTGTGTTTTCTGTGTCCATCAGCAGTTGAGGATTTCAAAAAGGAGTCAGAGAAAAAAGACAAAGTGGATGCGGATAAATCTGCGAGCGCTGACGTTCAGACAAAAGCAACAGTTGATGGTGAGAAAACGGACAAAGTGACACCTCTGACTGCAGACAAGTCCAGATCAGTCAGGTCTAAGAGGAGAGTCAAAGGGGAAGGTAAACCTCTGCAAGTTTGCTTTTTCAGTTTTAAGATACATTTATGTTGTTTTCTGGGTTTCTTCTTGTCTGGGTTAGTAACCCAACTGCTTGTTCAAATACTATTAAAATAAAGATGTGCATCGGGTGACATAAAAGCTTGACACAAAGAGATTTTTTATATAAAATTGCATTAAAACAAACAGACATGTTTGATCATTTGACTCGCCTCCTCCTCTTCTATGTGCTTAGCTTTTTCTCTCGTTATGTTTACTTTAGGTTCAACAGACATATGTCTGCAGGCCATGGATGAGGGAGAATGTCAGCGATACACTCTGCGCTGGTACTTTAACAGTCACTCTGGAGCCTGCAGGCCTTTCGTTTACGGTGGCTGCAAAGGAAACGACAATCGCTTCCTCCAGCAGGAGGACTGTGAGAAGGTCTGCCTCAGGGAGGCTGAAGGTGGGGAAGAAACACAAACAAACCTCTTTAAGTCAAATATTCAACAGAAGCGTGCAAATAATCTGTTTTGCAGGTCCTCGTCTCGGAACGACGGCAGGATGATTGTGGGGAACTCCTCCTCYACTAAAGAACTGTTTTTATAGGTCAGAATGTTTTCAAATGTCAGTGGTTTTGTTTATTTTTGTTTATTTATTGTTTTCTCGAACCCATCCAAGTTTTACTCTGCCATGAGACACACCACAACTGCACTTCTGCTGTGTTTTTTTTTCAAAATAACAGAAATATTAAAGACTAAAATACTCTTGTTTGCTGTAGTGAGAAAATCAAATGTTCAGTTGATTTTCTTTTCCTTGTTTTAAAGATTTCAGTTCAATAAATATTTTTATTTTATGCAAAAACTTGGCAAATGGCCAAACTAACCTTATGGTTTAACCTAATGAGAACTAGTCAAATTCATGTTTTAGAAGCTATTGCTGTTTTTAATATGTCTTTATGGAGTTTTACCTACTTTACTAACAAGAGTAATGATTAAATGCCTCCTCATAAATATAATTTATTTCTTTCAAGATTTGAAAAATCAAACTAGTACAGTACAAAACTTTGCACAATGTTTTAAATCTTTAAAAACAAACATAAAAGATGTAAATAACAAATATAATAACAATACAAAAAATCTGAATACATAGAATGTTAATATTCACAGCCAGTTTTTTTACTCTTTATCTGAAGGTTGCATCACGTACCCATGTCACAGCAATGCTGACCTTTCAGGTCTTTTTTTTTTTACTGTTGCAGATATTTCTAAAATCATAAACAAAACCTACAAGCTCTAAATAATTATTATATACACAAACAGAGAATTTATATTTAATTTCATTGACTTTCACATCCATATTTTTAATTTCATAGTTGTATTTCTTAAAACGTAAGATCATTTTATATTCATAAAAAACACTCAAACGCTCTGACTGCAAGTTTTCTGCTGTTGTCCAAAAGTGTCTTTACTTCCACAATAGTATCCAACCGAGTATTTGTATTTCTGTAGGTCATATAGGGTCTAGTAATCATATTGTACTGTAACTTTGTGTGCACATATTAAAGCAGTTTAGAAAACAGATTTGACTTCTCCATCTTATCACTTTAATCTGTTTGAAAGACAACATCCAGGAACCTTAATCTGGGGTTTAAAAGCCCCAGCATCATATTTTTTATCAGACTTCTGTGTAGCACTTTATAATACCTACACCTTATTTAGCCTTACTTAAAAACAAGTGATTAGCTAACCTCAAAAACATCATTACATAAGGATGATTCATAATAATTCCAAAACTAACTGACTATTATAAATAAAGACAAAACCCTGGAGCACCACAAGTTCCTTTTTTACCTGTGTAAAACAGACCAAAATCATATTTAACTCAAACATTCTGTAACTATGTCTAACACATGGTGTGAATGTACATACATACATACATACATACATACATACATACATACATACATACATACATACATACATACATACATACATACATACATACATGCATGCATGCATGCATGCATGCATGCATGCATGCATGCATGCATGCATGCATGCATGCATGCATACATACATACATACATACATACATACATACATACATACATACATACATACATACATACATACATACATACATACAT